CATACGGATATAGGGTTGAGGGTTTAGGAGGGTGTAGGGTTTAGCGTTTAGGGTTTAGGATTCAGGGTTTAGGGTTTAGGGATTAGGATTCAGGGTTTAGGATTTAGAGCTCTAGTTTCTTTAGGTTTTGTTGGAATGTGTCCCACCTCTAAAGGCGTGCTTGGGGGGCGGGGAGGGGGGTGTGTCCTTAGTTGGGTCGAAGGACCGGGTTTACGGTTTAGGGTTTAGGGTTGTTTATTCTTAGGCTACTTGGCCATGATCAGATTCCCAGCACCCCACGCCCCAAACCGTGGGCCCCAAACCGAGGCCTAATGAGCCCTAAGCACTCAGCCCGAAGCCCTCAACCCTAAGCCGCAGGCTACAACCCTGAGTTCATGGACGACTTCGAGCTCCCTGGGTTTCAGAGTTTAGGGTTGGTTTACAGGTTTTCGGGTTTCTGTTCCAGGGTTTCACGGTGGGGCCCTTGATCCTTCCTTGAGAGATTTCTGTGTTTAGGAGGAATCAAGGTTCCCGACCCTAGGTAGGTTTAGGGTTACTTTTGGGTTTATGGGGCTATAGGGTTCATACGGTTGATACCGTTGTTTCGGTTTATCTGGTTTATAGCTTTTAGGGTTCAGGGCGCAGGGTTTTTTTGATGGTTACTGGCCCACCGGTGGGTTTGGACTTGCTTGAAGGTTATGAAATCAGTTACAAGTCTCCTAAACCCCCAAACCCTAAGCCCTACGTGTTATCAACATAGATGTGCTGATCGCTACCCTAAGCTAAGAAACCCCAGATCTGCTGGGTCTGCTAGGACCCCCCCCCCCCCTCCCCGCCCGCAGGGTTTAGGGTTTAGGGCGGGGGCTTGAGGTGTTAGGGTTGGATGAGTAGGATACACTGGGACCCAGTGCCTAACGCAAACACTAAGCCCTAAACCCTAAACCCCAAACCCTAAACCCTAAACCCCAAACCCCAAACCCTAAACCCCCTGATCATAAGCCCTTGCAAGCCCTCGCAAAGCGCTGCGGACTGAGGCGCGCATGGCTGCTCCTGGCAGAGATCTACATCCAGTCGGCTACTTCCCTAGCAATTCAAAGCTACCTTTCCTTCAGGGCTGAAGGGTATTTGAACGGGTAGGTAAAATCATATGTGTGTAGGTATATCTACAAAGATATGTAACAGATGAAATGAAGGCCACAAGCGCCAAGCGCCTCAAACAAGGTTGTACACAGTTTTGTTCTATAGCTACCACACAAACCGCTGAATTTCCAAGTGCAGTAAGTGCTTGGGGCAGCTGCTCATTAGACTTCTGTATCGCAACCACAAAATATAAGCCCTAAACTTGAAATTCGAATTCTAAACTTTGAATTTTAGACCCTAAACCCTAAACCCTAGACCCTAACAGGACTTATTCAGAGTGACACACATGGCTCCGGGCTGGGTTGAGTGTTGAGACGGTTTTAGGGGGGTTCAGGGCGCTTTGAGCTCCCTAGGAAGCTGGACAAGTGTGGATTAGGCCTCTATGCTTTTGATAGGTATGCACATGTTATATGTATGCTGTATGTGTATATGAATATCTATTGTTTGATCTATACATATGTATATATATATATATATATGTATATATGTATTTCCCCCCCCCCCACCCACCCACCCACCCCACCCCACCCCCAAAGCCCGAAGTTTTGTGGCTCTGAGTGGTGGCGAGTTTTTTTGGATTTAGCGCTTAGGGATTGGGTTCCTTATGCTTGTGGTAGGTAAGGCCTTGTGGATCTGCTGTTTGTAGTTTCTTTTGCGGCCTGTGAGGCTTGAACTCCAGACCCTAGAACATCCAGACCTTGAACCCTTGGGTTTAGGGTTTAGGATTTAGGGCTTAGGGTAACCCGACACCTCATCCCTAAACCCCAAAGGGTAAACTAGAGATCCTCAGCCGAAGCGCATCCTAAGCGCATCCTGAGCCGAAGAGCTTACATGGGAGTTTGCGAAAATTCGGGACCCCGAGATTATGACCCCAACAATACAACTAATTGCTTAAGAGCCCCCCAAAAATTAAAAGAACACAAAATAAAGCAAATAGACTAAAAATATTCTTCCTTATTAAGGGTAATATAGGGGTTATTAGTTGTTTGTTTTTGGGGGGTTCTTAAGCAAATAGTAGAATAGTAGGAGCCGCTTAGAAGAAGGACCCCTAAGAAGGTGCCCCTAATTTCGGAAAGCCCCAAATGTTGATGTGCGCCGAAGGCTAAGTACGACCTCGCCAGCTCGCTGTGCCATCTGGCAAAGGACCAAACTGGGTTTAGGGTTTCGGGTTTAGGTTTTAGGGTTAGGGTTTAGGGTTGAGGGTTTAGGGTTTAGGAGTTTAGGGTTGAGGGTTTAGGGCTTAGGGTTTAGGGTGTAGGAGTTTAGGGTTTAGGGTTTAGGAGTTTAGGGTTGAGGGTTTAGGGTTTAGGGTTAGCGTTTAGGGTTTAGGGTTTAGGGTGTAGGAGTTTAGGGTTTAGGGTTTAGGAGTTTAGGGTTGAGAGTTTAGGCTGTAGGGTTTCAACTTTAGGGTTCGAGTTTGGGGGCTTAGGGGTTTACATGGCTTCAGGGGTTGAGGGTTTAGGGAATTTCGGGGTTTTAGGGTTTGGGGATTTGAGGGTTTCTGGTCTCGTGAGTCGCAGAGGTGGACGCTTCGCCCCTCACTGCACTGCTGGCCAGGACCACAACCGCTCCTGCGGCAAGGTGCTTCCGACAGCATATGCGTTTAGCCCTGGGCTTTGGCAGTCTGACCCCTCACGCCCCCGCCCAGAATAAAGGGTAGCAAAACAATATCGAAATACTGCAAGAATCCCAAGCCTCGAAAGCCCTGAAAATTCCGAAAGCCCCAAAAACCTTGGAACTAAGCCCCTAAATCACTAAAGCCTTAAGCCTAACACCCGAAAAGATCCTGAAGCCCCGTCAATGCCCTGAGATTCCAAACCTGGAAGCGAACCCCAGGCCTGGGAACAGCTCGGCCTGATCTACGAGAAGGAGCAGGCCTACAAGGCCTGAGAGAGGCATTATTTCTACCCCCCGAACCCTTACATGTCCCGAAAAACGATAAAACAAAAACCTAAATCATCAAACCCTAAACCCCTAAAGCCCACACACCCCTAGGCCCTATACCCTCTAATCCTCAACCCCTCAAAGCCCAATACCCGTAGTCTAAACCTAACCTATGGGCACCCCAGTCCCAGAAGCCCAAAATCTCAAAGCCTGTGAGCTCTATGCCTTGGACCAACCTTTAAACCAAAAACCCTCCGAAAAAAAACCTCCAAAGGGCTCAAGGGCCTATACTCTTGGCGCCTCGAAGCACCTCAGGAATTCAGGCTTAGAGTTTTCTTGCAGAAGGCTTATGGTTCAGAGCTTTTTGGCTTAGGGCTTGGAAGCACTAAACCCTAAACCCTAAACCCTAAACCCTAAACCCTAAACCCTAAACCCTAAACCCTAGTAAAGGTTCAGAGTTTGAGTTTGCTTGGGTTCATTGAGCTCGGTCTTCCCAAGCTGATGGCCACAAACCCAGCGCCCCTTCAAGCCACCTTCAGCCCTCAGCCAAACCCAAGCCCGTGTACATAACGTTGTGTGTAATGTGTGTAGATATATGTATTTATTTAGGTATGTATTTATTTTTACTTTTTTACTTGCTTTTAATCTTTGTTATTCACAATTGCATATATCTATATCTGTATCTAAATCTAAATCTATATCTACATATCTATGTATCTGTATATCTATATATCTTTATATCTTTATATGTATATGTCTATATGTCTATATATCTATATATCTATATATCTATATATCTATATATCTATATATCTATATATCTATGTATTTATGTCTATATCTATATCTATATCTATATCTATACCTATACCTATATCTATGTGTGTGCGTGTGCATGCGTGCGTGCGTGCGTCCGTGCGTGCGTGCGTGCGTGCGTGCGTGTGTGTGCATGTGTGTTTTTGTAGTGCATATGTATGTGTGTGTGTATACACACATATATATATATATATATACATAAACCCTAAACCACGACATGGCAGGACGCGGCCTCGCACTACGAGAAAGCCTGGGAGTTCTGCAACGAAGCATCCCCGGCCGTCGGTCGGCGGCCTCGGTGTGCGGTAGAAGCAGCGGGTTTAGGGTTTAGGGTTCAGGGTTCAGAGTTCAGAGTTCAGAGGTTAGGGTTGTGCGGTAGAAGCAGCAGGTTTAGGGTTTAGGGGTTCGGGTTGAGGGTTTAAGGTTGAGGGTTTAGGGGTTTCGGAGCCTGAAGCCTTCAGCCTGTTTGGCTTGGGACCAAAAAGCCCGAACAACAATTATTGCAGATTTGGGGGGCTACATCTCTCTTGATTTACCCTTGGGATGTTCGCCGTTGTACTAACAGTCCTTCATAGGGACTATACAACTTTCAAAAGAACACCAATTTGGGGGAGCGGACTCGTCACATTAGCCGAGAGGAGGTTTTGCACGGGTTTGCCTTGCAACTCCTCGGACAGCCATGCAGAACCGCCGGGAGCCCTAAACCCCTAAAAGCCCTAAACCCCTAAAAGAACCCTGAACCCTAAAAAGCCCTAAACCCTAAAAAACCCTAATCCCTAGACCCGGGAAGCTCTTTGCTGTTCAGTCGCAGGGGTCCCCCGTGTGAAGCCTCAGACGGTCGACAGCCATGGCCGCCACCGGCAGTGCGCAGATCTATGAGCCTTGGGACCAACTGAACCCTAAAGGGGTTTATGGGTCCTTATACCTTAATAGGAATTATAGTAGTATCGGGTATATAGGCACAGTTTTTTTCGGTTCACTTCGTCTCCAAGGAGGGCCTGAACCACGCAACCGCGATGCCGGAGCAGCGCAAGGGCCCTCGCTGGCACCTCATCGGTGCCGGCGTGGTGCTGCTGGCGGTCGCGGGCGTGGCCGCCAAGGCGTACGCGTCCTCCGGGGCCCTGTTCTCCGCCAGCGCCGGGCGCGGAGGCGAGATTCAGGATTGGGAGGAGCTCCCAGGGATGGACAAGGTCATCAAGAAGGCGCAGTCCTTGACGCTCAAGCACCCGCTCCGCAACTTGAATGATCTGTTCTACGACTCCCAGCCGGAGGAACTTCCTTGGATCCGTACCGAACCTGGGTGCATGTTGAGTATCCGTTCAATTATTCTGTTGTTTCGGGTTTTATATGTGCATATATTTCTAAATGTATGTATGTATGTATGCATGCATGCATGCATGCATGCATGTATGTATGTATGTATGCATGTATGTATGTATGTATGTTTTTGTTGTTTCTTCACCGAAGAAGCCAGAGGCGTGCTTTGTTTCTTACCCTGTCAAGTTTGGGGCACCAGGAATGCGTGATCGACACCGTTCAGGCAGCAGCCTACCTGGGCCAGGCCGTTGTTTTCCTCTACAAGGCCATCGACTACGCTCCTCATCTGGCTCAGTAACAATAGCTGCTCACCGTTCGATATAAAGTTTCGTTTTTTTTTCAGCTGAAGGAAAAGGTTAGCTAGCAGCCGAGTTGCTGAAAACCCCAAACCCTATACCCTATACCCTATACCCTATACCCTATACCCTAAACCCTGAACCCTAAACCCTAAACCCGAAACCCTAAGCCCTAAGCCTTTCCCGTGCTGCCTAGAATGGCCTCGAGTGCCCGGACAACTCCCCGGTGGGCTGCGCCGCGAGCGTGGCAGGCTTCATCACATCCATCAGCTGGATCGCCTCGTACCTTGGGGACCAAAAGGAACCCCAATAGGGTTTAGGGTTTAGGGTTTAGGGTTTAGGGTTTAGGGTCCATGTACCTTAGTACTTGTTAGAGTCCCCAAAAGGGTTTTATGGGAATTAGAGCAGTGTAATTAGGGTATATACCCCCCATTTTAGGGTTCACGTCGTCCCAAAGGTACCTGTCCTTCGCAGCCAACGCCTGCGGCCAGGCCGTGAACTCGGGCGCGCTCTGCGCAGGCGCCGAGAGGGCTGCCAACGTTCTTTTGAAGTTGATACTGTATAGAACTTGGGATGGGGATAGCAGGCCGCTCTTTCTCCTGCTAAGATTAGCCTTCATGCCTGTGGCACAGGCGACTTCACGGCTCTCATGGCCAATTTTGGCGAGATCGCGACGGTCGGTGCCGCAGTGAAGGCGGACTGCGACTTCGGCAAGAACGCGATCAGCATCCTCACGAATCCGGACCCTGTCTCCCCACCCTGGGCCCAGTTCGTCCCCGGCGGCGCCGGACCCGAGGCCGAGAAGATCCTTGCGATCAAGGGCCACCAGGAGGCCAAGCGCAACAGGGACTTCGACATCACGCAGCCTGCTGTTGGTTAGCAGGGAATGAGGGAATTAGGACCCCTATCTCCCCTTGTATATACCCTTTCAGGGGTAATTATATACAGGGTACCTCATTTCCCCCAGTGCTAAGCCAACAGCAAGGCAGTGCGTCATGGACGTGACCAACTCCGCCTCCTACATCGTGCGAGTCATCCTTCAAATTCGGGCGGCTGGCAGCGCCTGCCCAGACCCCAAGGCCTGGTATGATAGGGGCCTTAAGAATTAAAATAGGGCTTTAGGGGGGTCATTATGGTACATAATTAATACCGTAAGTAAGTAGAATAAGGTTTTGAGAGGGTTATGGTAGTTACAAATTTAAAGGGACCATAACAAGGAATACGATTGCGAGTTATTCCGACCCCCAGGCCTGTGCTGTCGGGATCATGAACATCATCTCCTCCTTCGCGTGGATCTCCCAGTTCACAGCCTTGGCCGTGTCGGACTGCCAGGTGGGGATGTACGAAATTATCGGGTGCCCATAAAGAAAGGCCCTTAAAGAGTAGGATCCCGGATCCCCGGACCCCAAAAAAGGTAACCCGAGTTTCGGAAGCAGCCAGGTGGGTGCCGACCAGAAGGCACTCTGCACAGCCGACATATCCGAAACTAGGATGCCAAGCAGCGCCCTCGTTCCCTGTTTTTTTGATTTTTTGGGGGTGAGGGGGGGGGGGGGGGTGGCTAGCGGCTAGCTGACTTTTTCAAACTGTCCTTAAACTCTTCCCTTGACACGGTACTCTTTTGCTGTTAGGTGTACCAGAGAGCCGAGGCTTCCTAGGTAGCGTTAGGGGACCCTTAACAAGGAACCCTTCGTAACCGTCTTCTGGCTCTCTTCAACAGGGACCTTATTCAGAGGGTCTATATCCCCAAGGGCCCCCCTAAACCCTAAATCCTAAACCCTAAACCCTAAACCGACCCTAAACCCCAAACCCAAAACCCCATCCCCTAAGGATATGGTTGCGGCTGTGACCAACGGCCCTGCAGCCGGCATCGCCTCCACGTCCGACTGCGCGGACCTCTGAGCTTGGCTTTCTTCTGCCTGGTCTTAGGACTTAGGACTTTAACATTTTGGGTTTTCGCAGAAACTACAATAAGGAGCCAAAACGTTGAACTTTTAAGAGGGGTTCAGATGTCAGCCAAGCTATAGTGTGAATGTTTGTTTGACTGCCCTTTGCACGACTGTTCCCTAGACGGGCCAGTGGGCACAATTATAGTGTTTGGTGCAGTGTATAGTCGTGCATGTTTAATTGTCCGGCGGATGTTCCCGGTCGCATTCCCAGAAGAGTCTGGAGACCGGCCGAAAAGGCGTGGTACTCTGACCTCCGGGTTTCAGGATCTCCTGTTGCGATGACTTTTGGACCATCCGTCGTTGAACGTGTTGAGACTCGGTCGCACGCGTGAGAGCTGGCAAGAACGTCGGCTCTCCGCCGCAGGTTGCAGCGTTGGAGACGCGCAGTACAAACCAAGGGGAGGCTGAGACTTCATGGGTTCCCCTACCATCCCCTTCCATACTACCCGCCTAGGTTCCTCCCAGAATGAGGGCTATTTGGGGATAACTAAGCCTAATTAAGGCTGTCCACAGGGAAGGAACCTAGGCAAGGGAACACTGAACCCTAAACCCTGAACCCCTAAACCCTAAACCCTGAACCCCTAAACCCTAAACCCTATATAAACTTGAACCCTGAACCCTAAACCTTAAGGGTAGTATAGAGGGGGGTAGTAGGGAAGCCCATGAAGACTCGTTCGCGTGGGCACTGCTGGGAGCTATTTGCCGTTCAGTCGCAAGGTCTAGGGCCACTGTTTGGAGCCTTTGGGGTTCAGGGGTCAGGGTTGTGCGGTTGAAGCAGCAGGTTTAGGGTTTAGGGTTTAGGGTTTAGGGTTTAGGGCTTAGGGTTTAGGGTTTAGGGTTGTGGAGCTTGAAGCCTTAAGATTGCCTGGCATGTGACAAAAAGCCCGAACAACAATTATTGCAGATTTGGGGGGCTACATCTCTTTGATTTACCCTTGGGATGTTCGCCCTTAAACTAACAGTCCTTGATAGGGATCATACAACTTTCAAACGAACACAAATTTGGGGGAGCGGACTAGTCGCATTAGCCGAGAGGAGGTTTACACAGCTTTGCCTTGCAGCTCGCTGGACAGCCGCGCAGCACCGCCGGAAGCTCTTTGCTGTTCAGTCGCAGGGGTCGCCGTGGGAAGCTTCAGAAGGTCGACAGCCATGGCCGCCACCGGCAGTGCGCAGATCTATGAGGGTCTGAACCACGCAACCGCGATGCCGGAGCAGCGCAAGGGCCCTCGCTGGCACCTCATCGGTGCCGGCATGGCGCTGCTGGCGGTCGCCGGCGTGGCCGCCAAGGCGTACGCGTCCTCCGGGGCCCTGTTCTCCGCCAGCGCCGGGCGCGGAGGCGAGATTCAGGATTGGGAGGAGCTCCCAGGGATGGACAAGGTCATCAAGAAGGCGCAGTCCTTGACGCTCAAGCACCCGCTCCGCAACTTGAATGATCTGTTCTACGACTCCCAGCCGGAGGAACTCCCTTGGATCCGTACCGAACCTGGGTGCATGTTGGGTATCCGTTCAATTATTCTGTTGTTTCGGGTTTCTATAATATGTGCATAGATTTATAAATGTATGTATGTATGTATGTATGTATGTATGTATGTATGTATGTATGTATGTATGTATGTATGTATGTATGTATGTATGTATGTATGTATGTATGTATGTTTTTGTTGTTTCTTCACCGAAGAAGCCAGAGGCGTGCTTTGTTTCTTACCCTGTCAAGTTTGGGGCACCAGGAATGCGTGATCGACACCGTTCAGGCAGCAGCCTACCTGGGCCAGGCCGTTGTTTTCCTCTACAAGGCCATCGACTACGCTCCTCATCTGGCTCAGTAACAATAGCTGCTCACCGTTCGATATAAAGTTCCGTTTTTTTTCAGCTGAAGGAAAAAGTTAGCTGGCAGCCGAGTTGCTCAAAACCCTAAACCCTAAACCCTATACCCTAAACCCTGAACCCTAAACCCTGAACCCTAAACCCTAAACCCTGAACCATAAACCTTTCCCGCGCTGCCTAGAATGGCCTCGAGTGCCCGGACAACTCCCCGGTGGGCTGCGCCGCGAGCGTGGCAGGCTTCATCACATCCATCAGCTGGATCGCCTCGTACCTTGGGGACCAAAGGAACCCCAAAAGGGTTTAGGGTTTAGGGTTTAGGGTTTAGGGTTTATGGTCCATGTACCTTAGTAGGAGTTAGAGTCCGCAAGAGGGTTTTCTGGGAATTAGAGCAGTGTAGGGTATATAACCCCCCATTTTAGGGTTCATGTCGTCCCAAAGGTACCTGTCCTTCGCAGCCAACGCCTGCGGCCAGGCCGTGAACTCGGGCGCGCTCTGCGCAGGCGCCGAGAGGGCTTTGGACTTTCTACAACTTGGGATGGGGATAGCAGGCCGCTCGTTCTCTAAGATTAGCCTTTCATGCCTGTGGCACAGGCGACTTCACGGCTCTCATGGCCAACTTTGGCGAGATCGCGACGGTCGGTGCCGCAGTGAAGGCGGACTGCGACTTCGGCAAGAACGCGATCAGCATCCTCACGAATCCGGACCCTGTCTCCCCACCCTGGGCCCAGTTCGTCCCCGGCGGCGCCGGACCCGAGGCCGAGAAGATCCTTGCGATCAAGGGCCACCAGGAGGCCAAGCGCAACAGGGACTTCGACATCACGCAGCCTGCTGTTGGTTAGCAGGGAATGAGGGAATTAGGACCCCGATCTCCCCTTGTATATACCCTTTAAGGGGCAATTATATACAGGGTACCTCATTTCCCCCAGTGCTAAGCCAACAGCAAGGCAGTGCGTCATGGACGTGACCAACTCCGCCTCCTACATCGTGCGAGTCATCCTTCAAATCCGGGCGGCTGGCAGCGCCTGCCCAGACCCCAAGGCCTGGTATGACAGGGGCCTTAGGAATTAGAATAGGGCTTTTGGTGGATACTATAGTATGTTAATACCATTATATAGTAATTAGAATAGTTTTTTTTTTGGGGGGGGGGGAATTATCATAGTACATGTATTTACAAAGGGGCCATAAGGGAATGCTATGAGTCACTATTCCGACCCCAAGGCCTGTGCTGTCGGGATCATGAACATCATCTCCTCCTTCGCGTGGATCTCCCAGTTCACAGCCTTGGCCGTGTCGGACTGCCAGGTGGGGATGTACGAAATTAACGGGTGCCCATAAAAAAAGGCCCTTAAAGAGTAGGATCCCGGATCCCCGGACCCCAAAGAAGGTACCCCGAATTTCGGAAGCAGCCAGGTGGGTGCCGACCAGAAGGCACTCTGCACCGCCGACATATCCGAAACCTGGTTCCCTGTTTTTTTATTTTTTTTGTGGGGGGGGGGGGGGGGTTGGGGGGTGGCTAGCGGCTAGCTGGCTTGTTTAAACTGTCCTTAAACTCTTCCCTTGACATGGTACTCTTTTGCTGTTAGGTGTACCAGAGAGCCGAGGTTTCCTAGGAAGCATTAGGGGGACCCTTGGCAAGGAACCCTTCGTAACCGTCTTCTGGCTCTCTTCAAAAGGGACCTTATTCAGAGGGTCTATATCCCCAAGGGCCCCCCTAAACCCTAAATCCTAAACCCTAAACCCTAAACCGACCCTAAACCCCAAACCCAAAACCCCATCCCCTAAGGATATGGTTGCGGCTGTGACCAACGGCCCTGCAGCCGGCATCGCCTCCACGTCCGACTGCGCGGACCTCTAAGCTTGGCTTTCTTCTGGCTGGCTCTTAGGACTTAGGACTTTAACATTTTGGGTTTTCGCAGAAACTACAATAAGGAGCCTAAACGTTGAACTTTTAAGAGGGGTTCTGATGTCAGCCAAGCTATAGTGTGAATGTTTGTTTGACTGCCCTTTGCACGACTGTTCCCTAGACGGGCCAGTGGGCACAATTATAGTGTTTGGTGCAGTGTATAGTCGTGCATGTTTAATTGTCCGGCGGATGTTCCCGGTCGCATTCCCAGAAGAGTCTGGAGACTGGCCGAAAAGGCGTGGTACTCTGACCTCTGGGTTTCAGGATCTCCTGTTGCGATGACTTTTGGACCATCCGTCGTTGAACGTGTTGAGACTCGGTCGCACGCGTGAGAGCTGGCAATAACGTCGGCTCTCCGCCGCAGGTTGCAGCGTTGGAGACGCGCAGTACAAACCAAGGGGAGGCTGAGACTTCATGGGTTCCCCTACCATCCCCTTCCATACTACCCGCCTAGGTTCCTTTTTTAGGGATAACTAAGCCTAATTAAGGTTGTCCAAGGGGAGGGAACCTAGGCAAGGGAACACTAAACCCTAAACCCTGAACCCCTAAACCCCTAAACCCTGAACCCCTGAACGCCTAAACCCTAAACCCTATAAACTTGAACCCTAAACCCTGAACCCTAAGGGTAGTATAGAGGGGGGTAGTAGGGAAGCCCATGAAGACTCGTTCGCGTGGGCACTGCTGGGAGCTATTTGCCGTTCAGTCGCAAGGTCTAGGGCCACTGTTTGGAGCCTTTGGGGTTCAGGGGTTAGGGTTGTGCAGTAGAAGCAGCAGGTTTAGGGTTTAGGGTTTAGGGCTTAGGGTTTAGGGTTTAGGGTTGTGGAGCTTGAAGCCTTAAGATTGCCTGGCATGTGACAAAAAGCCCGAACAACAATTATTGCAGATTTGGGGGGCTGCATCTCAGGGATTTACCCTTGGGAACTTGGGATGTTCGCCCTTAAACTAACAGTCATAATAGGGATCATAAAACTTTCAAACGAACACAAATTTGGGGGAGCGGGCTAGTCGCTTTAGCCGAGAGGAGGTTTGCACAGCTTTGCCTTGCAGCTCGCCGGACAGACGCGCAGCACCGCCGGAAGCTCTTTGCTGTTCAGTCGCAGGGGTCGCCGTGTGAAGCTTCAGAAGGTCGACAGCCATGGCCGCCACCGGCAGTGCACAGATCTATGAGGGGCTGAACCACGCAACCGCGATGCCGGAGCAGCGCAAGGGCCCTCGCTGGCACCTCATCGGTGCCGGCGTGGCGCTGCTGGCGGTCGCGGGCGTGGCCGCCAAGGCGTACGCGTCCTCCGGGGCCCTGTTCTCCGCCAGCGCCGGGCGCGGAGGCGAGATTCAGGATTGGGAGGAGCTCCCAGGGATGGACAAGGTCATCAAGAAGGCGCAGTCCTTGACACTCAAGCACCCGCTCCGCAACTTGAATGATCTGTTCTACGACTCCCAGCCGGAGGAACTCCCTTGGATCCGTACCGAACCTGGGTGCATGTTGAGTATCCGTTCAATTATTCTGTTGTTTCGGGCCGTTTCTATAATATGTGCATATATTTATAGATGTATGCATGTATGCATGTATGCATGTATGCATGTATGCATGTATGCATGTATGCATGTATGTATGTATGTATGTATGTATGTATGTATGTATGTATGTATGTATGTATGTATGTATGTATGTATGTATGTATGTATGTATGTATGTATGTATGGATGTATGTATGTATGTATGTATGTATGTATGTATGTATGTATGTATGTATGTATGTATGTATGTATGTATGTATGTATGTATGTATGTATGTATGTATGTATGTATGTATGTATGTATGTATGTATGTATGTATGTATGTATGTATGTTTTTGTTGTTTCTTCACCGAAGAAGCCAGAGGCGTGCTTTGTTTCTTACCCTGTCAAGTTTGGGGCACCAGGAATGCGTGATCGACACCGTTCAGGCAGCAGCCTACCTGGGCCAGGCCGTTGTTTTCCTCTACAAGGCCATCGACTACGCTCCTCATCTGGTTCAGTAACAATAGCTGCTGACCGTTCGATATAAAGTTTCGTTGTTGTTCAACTGAAGGAAAAGGTAGCTAGCAGCCGAGTAGCTGAAAACCCCAAACCCTAAACCCTATACCCTGAACCCTAAACCCTAAACCCTAAACCCTAAACCCTAAACCCTAAACCCTAAACCTTTAACCTCTCCCGCGCTGCCTAGAATGGCCTCGAGTGCCCGGACAACTCCCCGGTGGGCTGCGCCGCGAGCGTGGCAGGCTTCATCACATCCATCAGCTGGATTGCCTCGTACTTGTCCTTCGCAGCCAACGCCTGCGGCCAGGCCGTGAACTCGGGCGCGCTCTGCGCAGGCGACTTCACGGCTCTCATGGCCAATTTTGGCGAGATCGCCACGGTCGGTGCCGCAGTGAAGGCGGACTGCGACTTCGGCAAGAACGCGATCAGCATCCTCACGAATCCGGACCCTGTCTCCCCACCCTGGGCCCAGTTCGTCCCCGGCGGCGCCGGACCCGAGGCCGAGAAGATCCTTGCGATCAAGGGCCACCAGGAGGCCAAGCGCAACAGGGACTTCGACATCACGCAGCCTGCTGTTGGCTAGTAGGGAACGAGGGAATTAGGACCCCTATCTCCCCTTGTATATACCCTTTCAGGGGTAATTATATACAGGGTACCTCATTTCCCCCAGTGCTAAGCCAACAGCAAGGCAGTGCGTCATGGACGTGACCAACTCCGCCTCCTACATCGTGCGAGTCATCCTTCAAATTCGGGCGGCTGGCAGCGCCTGCCCAGACCCCAAGGCCTGGTATGATAGGGGCCTTAAGAATTAAAATAGGGCTTTAGGGGGGTCATTATGGTACATAATTAATACCGTAAGTAAGTAGAATAAGGTTTTGAGAGGGTTATGGTAGTTACAAATTTAAAGGGACCATAACAAGGAATACGATTGCGAGTTATTCCGACCCCCAGGCCTGTGCTGTCGGGATCATGAACATCATCTCCTCCTTCGCGTGGATCTCCCAGTTCACAGCCTTGGCCGTGTCGGACTGCCAGGTGGGGATGTACGAAATTATCGGGTGCCCATAAAGAAAGGCCCTTAAAGAGTAGGATCCCGGATCCCCGGACCCCAAAAAAGGTAACCCGAGTTTCGGAAGCAGCCAGGTGGGTGCCGACCAGAAGGCACTCTGCACAGCCGACATATCCGAAACTAGGATGCCAAGCAGCGCCCTCGTTCCCTGTTTTTTTGATTTTTTGGGGGTGAGGGGGGGGGGGGGGGTGGCTAGCGGCTAGCTGACTTTTTCAAACTGTCCTTAAACTCTTCCCTTGACACGGTACTCTTTTGCTGTTAGGTGTACCAGAGAGCCGAGGCTTCCTAGGTAGCGTTAGGGGACCCTTAACAAGGAACCCTTCGTAACCGTCTTCTGGCTCTCTTCAACAGGGACCTTATTCAGAGGGTCTATATCCCCAAGGGCCCCCCTAAACCCTAAATCCTAAACCCTAAACCCTAAACCGACCCTAAACCCCAAACCCAAAACCCCATCCCCTAAGGATATGGTTGCGGCTGTGACCAACGGCCCTGCAGCCGGCATCGCCTCCACGTCCGACTGCGCGGACCTCTGAGCTTGGCTTTCTTCTGCCTGGTCTTAGGACTTAGGACTTTAACATTTTGGGTTTTCGCAGAAACTACAATAAGGAGCCAAAACGTTGAACTTTTAAGAGGGGTTCAGATGTCAGCCAAGCTATAGTGTGAATGTTTGTTTGACTGCCCTTTGCACGACTGTTCCCTAGACGGGCCAGTGGGCACAATTATAGTGTTTGGTGCAGTGTATAGTCGTGCATGTTTAATTGTCCGGCGGATGTTCCCGGTCGCATTCCCAGAAGAGTCAGGAGACTGGCCGAAAAGGCGTGGTACTCTGACCTCCGGGTTTCAGGATTTCCTGTTGCGATGACTTTTGGACCATCCGTCGTTGAACGTGTTGAGACTCGGTTGCACGCGTGAGAGCTGGCAAGAACGTCGGCTCTCCGCCGCAGATTGCAGCGTTGGAGACGCGCAGAAGAAACCCTAAACCCTAAAGCCTAAACCAAGGGGAGGCCTAGACTTCAGGATGCCCAGGGGGAGTGCCACTGTTTGGAGCCGCACCCCTGTCTACAAAGTCCGACTAATCCCTAAACCTTCAACCCTAGCCCTAAACCCAAACGAAATCCCAAACCCCTAACAAAAACCCTAAACCCTGTTGAACACGAGGCTACAGGCTAGCCTTCAACTACCTCAAGGCCAAGCGTGTCTCGGCTGAGGTAGAGTTTTTGAGGTTCAGGACTTGCTCTTGCGATTTAGGGTTTAGGGTTTAGGGTTTAGGGTTTAGGGTTTAGGGTTTAGGGTTTAGGGTTTAGGGTTTAGGGTGTGTCGCAAGAGGGTCCAGGAATTTTCATGGGGCCATGTTCCGCTGCGCAATATGTTTAGGGATTCGGGCTGGCGGAGTTTGAGTCCACAGCCGGGCTGGAACAAGTCTCTGACCCCAAGCACTAAACCCCACAAGTCAAATCCCCAAATCCTACCTCGGGCTCCATCTGCCTATCATTCTGGAGGTTAGAGCCCATATGCAGGGTTGTATAAGCTACAGCTCAAATTGCGTAGGGTTTTCGGGAGTCCCTAAACCCTAAACCCCAAAACCCCAAACCCCAAACCCCAAACCCCAAACCCCCGAAACCCGAAGGGCCTCCCACTCGTAGCGACTGCGGGACTTGTACGGAAGCACCTGATGCTGCACCTTACTTAGCGGAACACTTATCCTCCCTTGTCTGTAACCCTAAACCCTAAACCCTAAACCCGATGAGATCCTTGGATTAGTGGCATGATCCGCCCCAAATCCGGAATTTGGCTGGCGCCTGTCCCTGTTCGTAGAATCTGGGATGCTCCCGAGGTTATGTGCCGGCGATCAACATTTGCCAGAGTGTCCTGAAGATTTCCGAGAACTATCCGAAGATCAAAAAGGACGGCACTTAATGCATTTCTTCAGGGCTGAGGTTTCTTTACAAGCGCCATTAATAAACCAAAAAGGGCACCCCTTCTTTCTATGCCATATTCCAAGGTTAGTCTTGGGTCAAGTAATTCTCGGAGTCCACACCTACACTATTCTAAGCCCCCAAGCAACCCTCCCAGCACCGAGCCTATTCCCTCTTAGGGTTTAGGGTTTGCGGTTTAGGGTTTAGGGTTTAGGGTCGAGTAGGTTTAGGTTTTAGGGTTCGGGTACTAAGACCCAGAGTAGGCCCTCACTCACTTTCGGTTTTTGGGGGTTCCCTTAGAACCCCCTTCAAACCAAAAAGGGCGCCCTGCTTATTCCTAGGCAACTCCCGGGTCTCAGGAATGACGTTGGACGCTTGCTCGCTAGGGTTCGAGGTCTAAATATGCTTCAGGAACTCTTCAGGATTTAGGGTTTAGGGTTTAGGGTTTAGGGTTTAGGGTTTCAGTTCAGGATTTCGGGGGCACGGTGATTGATTTCTGCCTTGTGTGACGTGCAAGCCGAAACCTTGAGCGCTAACGATATCGGCAGATGCCCGCGCAAAGCCCCCTAAACCCTAAACCCTAACCCCTACACCCTACACCCTAAACCCTAAACCCTAAACCCTAAACCTATCAATGTGGAAGACTTCTCGCAACCCTTAACCCTGACCCCGGGACCTCCAAAAAGAACAAGGCCTTTTCTCTCCATGAGCTGGACCTAGGATTATTTAGGGTTTAGGGTTTAGGGTTTAGGGTTAGGACTTGATTATTTAGGGTTTAGGGTTTAGGGTTTAGGGTTTAGGGTTAGGGTCCTAAACCCTGACACCTAGACCTCAAACTTTTAAGGAGCAGGCCTTCAGGCACCAGGCTGCCAGATTCCTCGTAGTACTCCCTCATCACCCTCCCCCTAATATTAGACCCCCCCCCTACCCCCTAATCTTAAATTCACCCCCTTTATAGTTCTCTTATAGTATATTGGGGGATTTTAGTATGAGGGGGTAGGGGGGGGGGTTTCATATTAGGGGGAGGGGATTAATCACCCTCATCCCTGGGTTCTCCCACCAACAATCAGCCACTGCGCACCCAAAGCCTAATTAACCCTATCCCCTGGAAGCCCCTGAACCCCTGAGCCCCCTGAACCCTAAACCCGAAAGCCTAAAGCCTAAACCCCAAACCCCTAAACCCTAAACCCTAAACCCCAAGCCTTCCAGCCCGGAAGTTTGTTTCGGCTTTCGGGTTTTGCGCTCTGCCGGCGCGTAGAATCTCGGTGGTTTCGGCTTCGCCTCAAGTCCTGCCAAGTCCCAAGTTTAGGGAACCCTAAACCCTGAACCCTGAACCCTGAACCCTAAAGCCAAAACCCTAAACCCTAAGATCTAAGCCCTAAACCCGAAACCCGAAACCCTAAACGCAACCCGCCTCAATCCTGGGAGGCCCAAAGTCCCTAAGCCCTAACCCCAAGTCAAACCCTGCGGCCCTAAAACCCTTAGACCCTAAACCCTAAAACCCTAAACCCTGAACCCCTGAACCCCTTGAACCCCTGAACCCCTGAACCCCCAAAACCTTGCCCAAAGTCCGTAAGCCCTTAAATCCCTAAACCCAAACTTAGGGTTTAGGGTTTAGGGTCTAGGGTTTAGGGTCTAGGGTTTACGGTTTAGGGTTTAGGGTTTAGGGCTAACGCCAGCCAGGATGTGCTTGAGAAAGCTCGGAGCCTCCTTCGGTCCTGAAAGGTGGAACTCGCCATGTAAATGCAATTGGCCAGCACGAGCCCCCGCAGCACGAGTCCCCGAACCCCTAAACCCTAAACTCTAAACCCTAAACCCTAACCCCTGAACCCTAAACCCTAAACCCTAAACCCTAAACCCCATGTAAACATCCAAAAACATATAAGGCAACAATTTAGACCTTCATGGGTCTTTGAAGAATTTGTAAGGGCTTCTATAGAGAGCATAGGGAGCTTAGGCTTTCTGATTTTTGGGGGATTCCGGTCAGGGATTAGGGAGACCTTTGTTTTGTATGGGATGGCTCTACTTTATGGTCCATGGGTAGTTCTCACTGAGGTTACAAGTAGGTAGTTACATACAAGTTCTAAGCAACCTGCTTGTACCCATACTTCTAACTACACGTGAACCGGGAAGGAGAGCCCTAAACCCTCGAACCTCCGTGGAGGTTTCGGGTGTGTAGGGATTAGGGCTTAGGGCTTAGGGCTTAGGGCTTAGGGTTTAGGGTTTAGGGTTTAGGGTTTAGGGTTTAGGGTTTAGGGTTTAGGGTTTAGGGTTCTAAACGGTGTTTGGGTATCTGTGCGGAAGTGCCTGGCCAGACATGCGCGGCCGCGCGTGCAATGCATGAGTTCACAAGCAGCTTTCCTTCGTAAGGCTTTTACCCTAAACCCTGAACCCAAAACCCTAAACCCTCAACTCCCCGAAATCGTATGGGATGTTCCTCCTTAGGATGTTACCTCTTGTACTCACAGTACTAAATAGGGGTTCAATCCCTATTAAGGACTGTCAGTGCAAGGGGGAACATCCCAAGTTCAGGGTTTGAACAATTCCGGGGATTTTGGGTGTCATTTGAAGGTTCAAGCATGCGTTGAAGTAGTGCCAGGGCAACTTTAATACAACCCGGTCCGCAAAACATCCCTCTCTCTCTCTCTCTCTCCAAACATTTATAATGTAATTCTATATTTCTCTACACCACAACCCCCTCTAATGCTACCCCCATGAACCTCCTAGAAAGGGTTGGGAAGTTTGACCCCCTCCCCCCCCCACCCTGCCTAAGTCCCCGAAAACAGGGGGATTCCAGGCCCCTACACCCGAAACCCTAAAGCCTAAGGGTTTTGTAGGGCTTAAGGTCCAGGATGCAATGCAAGGCCATCCCAAGGTATCTTAGAGGTCGCGCAAGTAACCGTAGGTTCGGGTTGAGGGCGCAGGGTTTTCTCGGACCCAGCACCAGCACAGGCCGTTATATGCCCTTTTCGTCGGGTTGAGGTTCCCCCATATTCCCCTTAAAACACAAAAAGTGCACCTTCTTGATGCCTAAGTTTCTCTTGGGTCTAGTTTTTGTGTCAGAGAATCCTTAGACCCTCCTCAAGGTCACATCTTGAGTGCCCCTGAAGCTGTAGGCTTAAGGCTTGAGAGGGTCTTTTGAGGCTCGAATCGGCGAGATAAGTTGTTTGGATGATTGGGATACAGGGGTTTAGAGTTTAGGGTTTAGGGTTTAAGCTGTCCTCCCAGCGCGAACAATCTTGAAGGGAGGGTACTTTCATGTACTTTTTGTTGACATGCATGACCGGTTTCACCCAAACACAAGGCTGATGTCGCCCGCCACTGATATACAGACCCAGGGAGCCCCAACACCCCTGAACTCAAGCTACGTACCTGAAGTTGCGAAGTCGCAATCTTGACCCCGACATACTTTAAACAGCGTCTGCCTCAACCCCGTAAACCCTAAGCCCTAAGCCCTAAGCACTAAGCACTAAGCCCTAAGCCCTGTAAACCCTAAACCCTAAGCCCTATAAACCCTAAACCCCAAACCCACTTCGGGGCTCCCTGGGGACTAGGGCCGACGTCGGCCAAACTCATGGCATGACCACCGAATCTTGGACCTCTCGCCCATGTTGAGCCGTCAAAAGTTGAAAGATGATCCCCAACCCCAAAGGGATAGGGTTTAGGATTTAGGGTCTAGGGTTTAGCGCCCACTCGCCTAAGTTTAGCCCACTCTACTATGCATCATTCCCCAAGGATATTGGGGAGATGTATTCTTAAGGGGCTGCAGAGAAAGCGGTTCAAGGGTTGAGGTGGCTCCCTGACGAAAGGGCTATATAGGCACCTTAATCCTGAATTCGACAAAGATAGTTGAACTTAAAAAACCTGTGGCACTTGTAGGAATCACATTTCGCGGCCTTCTTTTGCCCTGAGCCGTGAATCAGAAAAGCAAATCCCTGAATCCACGGCCCCCCCCCCCCCCCCCCCCCCCCCCCCCCCCCCCCCTCCTCCTCCCCGCCCCCAAACTATGCCAGCTGGTGAGGCCTAGTGCTGCTGGCGGTACTCGTCCTCCTGACGCTGTTGCTCTTCACCAGGGCGCTCTTCACAGCCGATTGGCCTTAGACCATGGCGCTTTGAGGGTGTAGGACACCAAAGCAGTAAATCCTGAAGCCTACGAGCTTCTAACATTCAGATCGTTTGTCCTTCTTCCAGAATTATGCACGAAAGTCCTGAAGCCTCTCAGCCCGCCTCTGTGCAAACCCTGCTATCAACCCTACAAGCCCGAATTCCTCTTGGGATCAGGGTACCTCTGCATATGGCCACCCACCAATTGCTGTGAAGAGGGCATCCGAAGAAACCGGAGGGCCAAGGCTAGCTCCAGCCCCTCAGACCCCTGAAAATCCCTTAACCCCCCTTAGGCCGGTAAACCCCGAGAGCCACCCAACTCTAAACACCACGTCGCCAGCGCCCCTTACATCCCACTTGGAGGTTCATGGTACATATTAGCCAATCATAGCTGTACTTCTAACCCACTTATAAGCCCCTGAAGTGCCCTAATGACAGGTACAGATATTAGGTCAGTTCCCCAACCCCTAAACCCTAAGTCCTAAACCCTATAAGTACAGTCATAATTGGTTAGTAAGTACCATGAACCTCCAAGTAACGCCCCAGCCACGCAGAGCTCCCTGAGGAAGTGGTCGCCAGAGACGGGCTTCTGCTGGGCGCTGCCTCCTACCGGGATCAGGCTAGGGGTTTAGAGTTTTAGGGGTTTGGGGGGTAGAGGGGTTTAGAGGTTTAGGGTTCAGGGCTTAGGTTGGGTGAATCTCAGGCGTTTTCGCAATAACGACCCGGGGGTCTGAAGTGCCAAGAAGACTCTTGTGAAGCTCCACGAGTTCAGCGTTTAGGTTCAGTTTTGGGTTTGGCATGTAGGGGCTTCCGAAATGAGGGGTACCTTTTTGGGGTCCTTATTATAAGGGAATCCGGGCAAGCCGTGATTTAGCTCGGCCGCTTTGACGTTGACTCGGACTTCCAGGCATGGCGCACTGCACTGCGTCTCAGCTGTGCATGCGCTTCTCAGCTTCGTGTGATATAAGGGAATCCGATTATTTTGGGGGGTCTATATTAGGGGCCCCTCATGTTCGTGAACCTTCATTTCGAGCCAAGCGACTGCTCTTTTTGCTTGGGGTGGGGGGAAGGGAGGTAAGGCCACCCTTTGTTTTGGGCCAACTAGGCTTCTAAAGTAAGCAGTAGACGGGCCCGAGATGCCTCTTAATTGTACATTTTGTTTTTTTCCCGGTTGTGGGTTGCCGGGTTTGCTTGAGGTTTAGGGTTTTAGGGTTTAGGGTTGAGGGCTTTTAGAGATGTTGAGTATGCTTTTTGAAGCGGCTTAGGGTTTACGAGTTCCTGACTACCCTCGCTTTAGCCACGAGCCTCTTGGAAACGAACGCAGACATGATGCGATCCAATGCTCAAATGTGCCGCACGGGGGCTGAGTGAAGGTTCAAAACGGCTGTAGTCAGTCATCTTCGGGGTTCGAAAACGACAAACCCTGAACTTCTAATCCCTAAACCCTAAACCCTAAACCCTAAACCCTAAACCCTAAACCCTAAACCCTGAAAGAAACCGCTAGGCCCCACACGAAGCTCCCCTGCATCACTAGGAGCCCCTGGCTGCGGTGGCCATCGCACGGGAGTCCAGGACGCCAGCGTCGTGAAGCCCCAAACAAACCCGGATGAACCTCTAAACCCATGAACTCTGGGTTTAGGGTTTAGGGTCGAATTCGGGTTTGGGGTTTAGGGTCTAGGGTTTAGGGTTTGGGGTCTAAGCCCTAACCCTTAAAGCCTCATAAACGCTAAACCCACAAAACCCCAGACCTTAGAATCAGAACCCAGCTAGGAGTTGCCAGAAAGTCAGGCTGCCCTTACCCCCCCGGAAATATAGATATAGGAGACTCTCCCTACCTGTCCCACAACCCTAAACCCTAAGTAAACCCTAAACCCTACACCCCAAACCCTAAACCCTAAACCCTAAACCCTAGAAAACCCTATGTAGGCTTGCATAAAAGCTTTGAAAGGGCCATGGTTCTAAACGCTAAACCATCTAAACCCTACACCCTAAACCCTAAACCCTAAACCGCCGCTCTAGCTTGCTTGGACCTTGCGAAGCTGTAGAGGGTTGTTTCAGGTCCTGGAACTGGCGCTTCTGAAGCGGGGCCCCTTGTGCGGGTCCTGGGCTTAGGGCTTAGCGCTCCCTAAATACAAGGGCCATGTTACGCAACGGACCAAAGTGGGACGAAAAACTCAGAGACCCGACCCTAGGAGTTTATGAAGCCTCGTGGGACCCTAAACCCTACACCCTGAACATGCAGGGTTTTCTTCTTTGCCGGAGGAGCCTTGCAACCGTGGCGGCGCTGTCACCGAGTGTACTGCGCAACTCGGCTCGACTTGGGACAGGTCAGGTTCATTTGAAAGGTAACTGCGCCCACGAATGCGAGCTCAGCGAAGTCACAGGGAACTACGGGGTAGGTTCGCGAAATTAAGCCGGAAATTTGATGTGGCCGCGAGGAAGCTGAATACTCCCGCTTGTGTGTGCTCCGCGCTGTTCAAACCCCTGAAGGCCCTTGGGAGGCTGTTTCGGAAGCTGCCCCAACAAGAGCCCAGGTCTAGCTAAGATAGACTTCGTTACAAACAGGACACCCCAAAAAGAGCCCATGTGGGATTAGCCCTCGCCTCTGGCGTGAGGGT